ATCCCAAGATCATAAACATATTTGAGAGAAAAACACGTTTCTATTACTCACAAGAATAAAAACACAAGAGATTTACAAACTCTAAACAAAAAACTCTCAAACACTCCACAATTCTTTCTTGGTTGTGTTTCAACACTCTCAAGGTTGATTGATCACCCAAGGATGATTTGAAATGATGAAATAACAAGCCTATTTATAGGCATGAGCAAGCACACCACCATTGACATTTGGTGTGTGAAAAATGAAGGTTGGTGGATGACCTTCTTCAATGGTGTGCCATTGATTTCTTCACATGTGTGCTTTTGATTTCTTCATTGGTGTGCTTCACATGTTGCATGGAACTTTCAATTCTCTCATTTCCATGCAAGTTCTGAACAAGCATTCCTACTATGTCTCTGCATAGCTTAAGCTTATCCAGTGTAACCACTTTTGGCAACATATCTGATGGATTCACTTTCGTATTGATCTTCACTAGTTTCAACAGCTGTTGATCAATCTTCTCCCGTATCCAGTGATACCGAACATCGATATGCTTTGTGCGGGCATGGTACATAGAGTTCTTGTTCAAGTCAATAGCACTTTGACTATCACAATATACATTGTACTCTTTCTGCTTAATCCCAAGTTTTTGGAGATAACGCTTTAGCCACAACATTTCTTTACCAGCTTCAGCGGCAGCAATATATTCAGCTTCTGTTGTGGATAAAGCAACACACTTCTGCAATCTTGATTGCAAAGAAATGGCTCCCCCTGCAAAAGTGTAGACATAGCCCGAAGTAGATTTTCGACAATCAATATCTCTGGCCATATCAGCATCAGTATATCCATCCAAGACTGGATCAGCTCCCCCATAACAAAGACATAACTTAGAAGTACCCTTCAAGTATATGAGAATCCATTTGACAACCTCCCAATGCTCCTTCCCGGGGTTAGAAAGAAAACGACTCACTACACCCACTGCATGAGCAATATCTGGCCTTGTACACACCATTGCATACATCAGACTTCCAACTGCTGAAGAGTATGACACTGCAGACATCTCCCCCATCTCTTCCTTGGATGTTGGACATGATCTTTTGCTCAACTTGAAATGATTCGCAAGTGGAATACTCACTGGTTTGGCATCACTCATATTGAACCTTTCAAGTACTCGTTCAATGTACTTCTCTTGAGATAGCCATAACTTGCCGTTCTCTCGGTCTCGAGTAATCTGCATCCCAAGAATCTGTTGAGCTTTTCCTAAATCTTTCATATCAAAAGACTTGGAAAGTTCTTTCTTCAGCTGACGTATCTTCTCCGCATCATTCCCAACGATCAACATATCGTCGACGTACAGTAGAAGAACTATGAAAGCCCCATTTGAGTATCTTTTGATGTAAACACACTCATCTGCAGTAGTCTTTTTGTAACCTTGACTCTTCATGCATGAGTCAAACTTCTTATTCCACTGCCTTGGTGCTTGCTTTAGACCATACAAGCTTTTCGATAGCTTGCACACGAGGTTCTCACTTGAAACCTCAAAACCTTCTGGCTGCTGCATATAGATTTCTTCATTCAAATCTCCGTGAAGAAAAGTTGTCTTCACATCCATCTGTTCAAGCTCCAAATTCATACTTGCTGCCAAGCCAAGTATGACTCGAATTGAGGTCATCTTGACAACTAGTGCAAAGATCTCGTCAAAATCAATCCATTTCTTCTGTTGAAAGCCTTTGACTACCAATCGAGCTTTGTGTTTCACCACTTGTCCATGTGCATCTTTCTTCAGCTTGAACACCCATTTATTTTTCAAAGCCTTTTTTCCTTCTGGAAGTTTAACAATCTCATAAGTTTGATTTTTCTGCAGAGAATCTAACTCTTCCTGCATCGCAGCCATCCATTTTTCTTTATCCTTATGAGATATGGCTTCTTGAAAACTCTCTGGTTCTCCATCTTCTGTCAATAGAAGGTATTCAAATGATGAGTACCTTTTGATGGTATATGACCCCGTTCAGATCTACGAGTGGGTAGAACCATCTGAGAAGAACTTCCAACATTGGTGTCTGGCAAAATGGGTTGTGGCTCCCCTTGCTCTGGCAAGATGGGTTGTTGCTCCCCTTGCTCTGCACTCTCCTCCGTCTCCTCGTCTTCTTCTGGTACATCATCTTCATTGTTTCTCCGGAACAATTCTGGTGCTTTATTTGAAACTTGAGCACCCACATTTGACTTCTGAGACATCTTGGGCTTTTCGATATCTTCTATTGTCAAATTTTCTTGGAACACAACGTCCCTACTTCTGGTCACCTTTTTCTCCTTTGGATCCCAAAATCTGTATCCAAACTCTTCATCTCCATAACCAATGAAAATGCATGGGATGGACCTCGCATCGAGCTTCTTCCTGAGCTCTTTGGATACATGTGCATATGCTACACAACCAAATACTCTGAGATGTGAGTATGTCGGATCCTTACCGTCCATATTCTCTTTGGAACTTCAAAATTTAATGGAACTGAAGGTGATCGGTTGATTAGATAACATGCGGTCTTGACAGCTTCTCCACAAAATGGCTTTGGTAATTTAGCCATATTCATCATGCTTCGGACACGCTCCATGATAGTCCGATTCATTCTTTCAGCAACACCGTTGTGCTGAGGGGTACGTGGTACTGACTTCTCATGTCGAATGCCATATGTCCTGCAATATGCATCGAACTCCTTGGAAGTATACTCGCCTCCATTATCAGATCGGAGACATTTCAGCTTCTTTCCTGTTTCACGTTCCACCATGACGTGAAATGACTTGAAGTACTCAAACACCTGGTCCTTCGTATTCAGGATATATACCCACACCTTTCGAGAAGCATCATCAATGAAAGTCAGAAATTATCTGCTTCCACCCAGTGATTCAACCTCCATGGGACCGCAAACATCAGAGTGTACCAAGCTTAACAACTCTGATCTCTTTGTTGAACTTGTATTGAATGAGACTCTATGCTGCTTGCCGAACAGACAATGACTGCAAGAACCCATCGCCTCACTCTTATCAACCTTGATAAGATCCTTCTTCATCAGGGTAGTCAGCCCTTTCTCACTCATATGGTCGAGTCTCTTGTGCCATAGATCCTGGGAAGCCTCCTCTGCAACATTGAGACTTTCTGTACTAATCTTCAAATGTGTTTTGTACAGCGTCCCACAAACATGTCCTCGGGCAATTTTCAGAACACCCTTTGACAACTTCCATGTGCCTGCGCCGAAGTGATTTTCATATCCTTCTTTGTCAAGAGCCACCACTGACAAAAGATTCAGCCTAAGATCTGGCACATGCCTGACATCCTTCAACAAGATTGTACTCCCAGTTCCTGTCGTTGCCTGGATATCACCAATTCCGACAATTTGAGAGGAGCTGGAATTTCCCATCTTCACCGATCCAAAGTCTCCAGCTTGGTATGTTGTGAAGTATTTCCTGTTGGGAGTAACGTGATAGGATGCTACAGTATCTACCACCCATTCCATATCTTCTCTTGAGACATGAAGGCATGTCTCACCATGGTTAGAGCAATATGCTACATCACCTGAGACAGTGATAAGAGTTTCACCACCCTTGCCCTTGTTCTTCTGCTGAGAACTATTCTTCAGCTGAGAATTGCTCTTGCCCTGCTCCTCGAGCCATTTATAGCAATTCTTCTTCATATGACCTTCTAGACCACAATGATAGCACACATGTGATCTCCGATCATCTGATTGCCTCCCCTTGCTTCTACCCCTGCTCTTCCCTCTACTGTTTCTTTGTTGTTTGCCTTGTGGTCTTCCTCGATTCTCCATCACAAGGGCATGGGTCTGATCTATGCCCATGTCTTTCCTTCTTGCCTCTTCATTGAATAAGGCATCCTTGACAACGGACGTGGAAAGTTTGCCGTTTGAGGCTGAGTTGCTGAGAGTAACAACGAGTGTTTCCCAGCTATCAGGAAGGGAACTAAGAAGTAGTAGAGATTGCATTTCATCTCCAAGCGGCA